CCCCCCCTAAATAATGTCAGAAAGCTGCTTGCTGGACTACCCCCTTTGCTTGAATGTTTTTTTTTGTTTTTGAATACTTTTAAATAAGGGATTTTATAAAGAAAGCGCGCACTGACTTTTGGAAACTTTTGGAAAGCTTCACAACTAAAGAGCTTAGGAAAATAGAATCTCCAAATTTTCAATAGAAATCTCCATCCAAAAGCCTCCAAAAGCATCAAATCTCGATGAAAATCTCCAAATTTTTTAATAGAAATCTCCATCCAAAAGCCTCCAAAAGCATCAAATCTCAATGGAAATCTCAAATTTTTGAATAGAAATCTCCATCCAAAAGCCTCCAAAAGAATCAAATCTCAATGGAAATCTCCAAATGTTTAATAGAAATCTCAATCCAAAAGCCTGTAAGATAAGCAAATCCCAGCAAATTCAAAAGGGAAAAAGTAAACTATAACAATAAAAAAAATCCACTACAACTACCCCTCCCAAAAAAAAAAGACATTATTCTAGGGGCCTTTATAAATCAGTGCAGGGAAAAAAAAATACATAATTCTAGGGGGGTTTATAAATCTGAGGGCCACATTATGAAAAATACCGATGTATAAACGAAGAGTGCCAATGTATATATATATACTCTTAGTATATATATATACATATATGTGTGTGTGATTATATATGTTTATGTATATATATTCTTTAATTCACAAGTCCCACCGGGTCCCACCCCACAAAAAATAGAAGGATCCACCAACTAAGTCCTGAGAAGACTGCGCAAGTCCACCACACTGCTCGGGTGCACAAACAAATCCACGAGGAAAAGGGCGATCACATCGGCTCCCTCTGCACTGCCTTGATGGGGAGTCTCATTGGTCAGGCACACCTACAGTACTTGCTTTTGAATCCTTTTTGTGCACTTCACCTGGCTAGTGCAGCATCACGAGTCGCAATGAAAAATGGAAACGATAGAAAGAAAAGAGCCTCGCTCGCTTTCATACAGCAGTCGCTCCAAGCATGGAACAGTAGGAAGTTTGTCGTCCAACTTGAGGAAGCCAAGCCAAACATCAAGTTGTCCCACTGCTGGTTGTTTAGCATCGCCTCATACTGTTTGTCAGGCTGGTGTGGGATCCGATTAACTGGCTTGATTAGGTCGTGTTTATTGATGCATGCTGCAGGCCTTTAACATCATAAAGGCTTGCTAAGAGCTCTTGCACATCAACGCGGGAGGCGCTCAGCACAAAGTCTTGCCAACGCTCATCTTCACCATGGAGGTGTTCCAGAATCCTCCGCAAAAAGAGGAGAAATAAAGAAGGTTCCGACAAAGCAAATGAAGGCCCGAAGCTGCCCAATGACTCAACTCACAATGGCGTTGGACAAGGGAAATCGAAAAGCAAATCAGGCAAGAAACGTTAAGAGGTCTTTGGATGGGAGCTGTCCATCGATGCAAGTTCGTCCCAACAAGACTTTTACTTTGTCTGCCATTGGAGCTCAAGCTGATGGGCCAAAAACGGCCAAACATTGCAAGAAAGCAACAACAAAAATCCGAGTCAGCTGGTCTCAAAAACGTCTATATGTATTGGCCACTGCTAGTGGCCACTCTCGTGACCAAATTCATGACGTTTATTGTTGTGCACAAGCCTGCTCAAATGCACGGGGGTGCTCTTCCCGAAGCGCTACACTTCTGGGAGCTGCACCAAAGCCGTTCCAAGCGCTGAACCTGGCAAAAAAAAAAAATACGCACACGTCCCGGTGGGGAGGGGAGCCGGGTAATTTGCAGCAGCACCATCAACACCATCGCCGGAGCCAAGAGAAGTGCACCTCAGAGTTTTTGATGCTTCGCACATTCACCATTCATCTAACTACTTGACATCACTCCTCCGTAATGCTGCGGCCCGTGCGCAGCAGACTGGCTTCGTACAGGTGCGCTGTCAAAAGGTTCCAGACTTAGCCACATCATGCTTGCAATGTCATGTCCAATGAAAGTTGAAAACATACCTAGGGCCCCAACGAAACGGCAAGGGGACAGTTGCGATTGGACTGAAGATTGTGTGGTGCGGCACCTCGGACGCGTTTCAGGCTGAAACTCTCCAAAGTGCAAGCGTCATGGACGCTTTCGCTTGCAAAGGACGTTGCAGTTTGGGTTGACTCATTGGCTCGTAGTTTAAGTCTAAGTCGTGTCATCCCAATTTACAATGAAGGCCAGTTGGGGCCAAGGCACCAAGGAGAACAGGTCATCGACGGTAGCTGGCAACAAAGCATGTAAGAACGAAGTGCTGGCGACCTTTCAGGATTCCAGTTTCTCAACCATCAGCCCAAAGACCAGCCCTTTGGCAACATGAGGCCCACACGATGCCACCAAGCCTAGCCACAAAACTCAACTTATGAATCACTCGCCACCGAATAACACATCGCGCATTCAAAGCCAAGGGCCCGACAAACTCGATGGTGCTAATGGCAAGGCGAGTGGGCTGGCATGACCATTGCTTAGAATATCAGGCCTCGAAAATAATGCGCATGCCAGCCCGCAAATAATGCCGCGGAGTAACTTCAATTACACAATCCACCACAACTAGACCTGCGGCTGAGCCCGGGACCCTTCCATGCACTGTTTCCGCCTACAAAACTGCAAAGGATTCATCTGGCGTTTTGTTGGCAGCAGAATCCTGGGGGCCCGGCTTCGCTTACCCGTCGCCCTGAGGGCTTTCATTTGGACCCATCATTTTGAATGTTTTTGGCTGCGGCATCGGAGTTTCATGGCCACATTCTGCACACTCAACGGTTCCTCGGGGTTCAATGAAATCGCACCTGCGGGTTTTCAGTGCTCAACCAAAACGACCACTCGTTGCTGCAGCCAGCTCGGGCACCGCAGTTCGCGCGTTCTTTTTCTAACGGCACCACGTGCGAAAGGAGTGGGACCTTGGGGATCTAAAGTGCAATGCAAACGCCCTGTTTTCTAAAAGGCGATTGGCTCGGGCCCTCCATGGCCGCAAGGAGAAATGCCGTGTCCAACCGAAGGTGCGCATGAGTCAATGGTGTCATGCCGTCACGCGTTCAAGTTTCACGCTGGAGTGTATCTCTTTTGACCCATGTCCATGTGCCTCCCTCAGCTGAACCAAAGGCCGCTGGAGCCATGCGAGAGTTGATCTCGCAAGTCGACCGAAACCTTGGTCAGGGAGTCCGCCATCTGAAGGCCTGTTGGATCACTTCCTGGATGCTCCTGATGTTCACCAAGGAGTGTTTGTCTTCAACTGTTGGATTCGATGAGCTCACCGAATCGTTCAGGCTCTTGCAGTCTGTTGCCAACCGTGCTTTCAGCTTTGGCCCAACGCGATGGGCCGGAACTCCAAAAACCAATTCTCCAAGGCTGTACTGCAGGTATGCCAACCTGTCAGCCGCTGTGTCGGCTGCCACCGACTCTGCTGCTAGAGTCGCTCTGCAAACCCGCTTCGGCCTGGATGACTTCCAGTCAACTACAGCTCCATAGCAAGCCTTCTCGGTGACAGTGGCGGGGGTCAGGAGCAGCACTTGTCCATGTTGGCTTGCGCTGCCTTGGGCGTTAGCCCAGCTTGCGTCGCTGTAGG